TTCCCTACAGGTAAAACAAAAAGCAATGACAAAATGCAGAATATGCAAAATAAACAAATTTATCCCATGATTGCTTCAGAATGGGACCACCCCAGTTCCAGCACCAGGCCATCAAGAATTCAACTCAGCTTTGCTTTTCTTGATGTAGTGTAAATTTTGAGTGTGTCTACTTACCTTGAACAGCTGCACTCCAATACAAGCAAACATGAACTGCAGCAGAGTTGTAACGATCATGATATTACCAATAGTTCTAATAGCCACAAAGACACATTGAACAACATGCTGGAAAAAAAAAATAAATTAAAATTTCAATACGACTTGTTACTTAGCATCACAGAATACATACTGTAAAAGCCTATTTCATCACTTTCATATTATTTTTTAAAACTATTTTTATGTTGCCAGTATTATACCTACTACCATAATTAAACTTCTTTTCTAAATTTTTCTACAAGTCTGTTGACATAGACCCATCAAGACCAACTGACTAAAAATTACATAAGCATCATGGAAAAAACATTAAAATATTGCTGTGGCATGCTGGTTCACAGAAAGCGTTACAGTCACAATCTGCTCTCTGTGGCACTGGTGTTCCTCCACATATAAACTGTTGTAACTGTGGGCAGAATACGGTCTAACACATTTAAGAATCAGGAACTGGTTTACGTCCTTGCCCTATGAACTCCTCTATGCAGTTGTTCTTGCCCAAGAATTTTTAACCTGATGCAGGACTGAAGAATCAGGTCAACAGAAATATAACTTGAAAAATAAACACCTTAAGTCCTTTTGCTCTGTTTATTGCCCTTAGAGGCCTCAAGACTCTTAAAACTCTGAGGATCTTCACAACTGAGATAGCACTTGATCTAGGGGGGGAAAAAAGAAAAAGTTATTCTGTTACTTTTAAGGTAACTGATTTTGTTACTGAGAATAACAATCTTCTTGCAACTTCCTTATAAATGACATTTCAAAAAATTCTCAAGACATACATACAAGGTTTTTAAAAGTATTTCCTTATTGATCCTTTATTAATATTAGAAAGTAGTATCAATCTCATAAATACCATAAGAATTATTTTGATTTCCGGAGCAACGTGGGAATTAACAGCTCAGAAGCTTGTCTGACACTGTAATGCAGTTAAGTTTGGGCATGAGCAAAATAGTCCCCAAAGTATTTTTCAGTGTTGACAAGCCCTTTCAAAGAGATTGTGTAAGCCCTGTAAATCAATGAATACCTTAATTTGCAACCAGCTGGAGATGAAAAGGTCTCAGATGACTCACTTTTTTTTTTTTTAAAGTAGCTAGGACTGCATTTTGAGGAAATAATAGCAGACAGTCTTTTACAGAACATATTGTGAAACTGAAAGCTTGTGTAACAGGTATTCCAGCTCAAGCAGAATACGAAGTGGGAAGCAGTTGACTGACACCCAGCACTTGCTCTTTTCTAAGTCCCTAAGGGTTTCACAGATGATTTTAAATGAGGCACAACTGCTCAGTGAATCAATAAGCACCTTCAGACTCTTTTATTATGTTTAGCCTGATCGAAGCAAAGCAAAAGAATCTCTTCACTACTGCCTACAGTTCTGATTAAGGTACAACTTCTCTCCCCTTCAAATTCTGTCAAGTTACATATCCCAGTAGGTCAATGCTGAAAGAGCAAGCTTGTAGAACTAGATTGTAGATGTAGCAATAGCACGAAAGAGGGTATATAAACCTCCTGAAGCTTCAGGTATTACTTGCTATACAATATAGTGTCATGCTGCTCTTCCTTTTTCTCTCGGTAATAGTGGGAAGTAGTAATTTGTTTCCAACCCGTATTAGTAATGAGTTACAACACACTCCATACAAAGCACTACCTCTTGCCAGTCCTGAATACTCATACTGCACACCCACACACAAAGGGGCAACTAAAGGAGCTGAAACACTGATTTCAGTATAAAACCCCAAAGCAAAAATAAATCATTCACGTTGCAAGTACAGTACTTACTGAATACCAAATGATACCAGAGAAACACCCACGACCAGCAAATCCAGCAAATTAAAATAATTCCTGCAGAAGGACCCTTTATGAAGGAATGCTCCAAAAGCTGTCATCTAAAAACAGAATTGTTACATGTTTAGTCTATATTTCTATTTATTCAAATTCACATTTAGGCTGTTTACAAGACGCTTTCCTAGACTGTGAATGCATACAACATTATCTCACTTTCTAAAAGCAATTGAGATATAAAACAATTCCACTATGTACATTAAGTATTTCACTTAAATCAGAAACTGTGCTCAAGCAACACCAGCAAATGTATTAATCGTTTCTGAGGTCTACAAATGCTATATCTTTTGTAAGAACTGATTAGGCTGAGCTGATTACACTGAATTGATTGTTCCTTTGTTAGAAAAATTACTACAAGAACCATAAAATTTCCATGCTTACTAAACAGTAAGGTCCCGATTCTGATTCCTAATTCATACTGTCTTCAGAATTGAAGGAGCTGAAAGTGTAGTGCAAAAACCTGAGTGTCAAATCTGGTACAAATCAGCACACGGCTGTCATAAGGCAGCATTACATTACTATTTGCCTTTGGCTCACAAGAGACATGTTAAGACCATGAGTTGTATCCTGGAATAAACTGGTACGACCCATAGATTGTTTTGTGTTGTGCGTGGACAAGTGTCCCTAAGTTTTGCGGGTCTGTGAAGAATATCGAACATTGCTCTCCCTATTGGACTTTCTCTTCATTTTTTGCTTTCTGTGCCTAGATTAAGATGAAAGAAGCACACAAAGGGTATCTTGTGAAGGAACCCGCATGCATCATTTGTAGGTTTCATTAGGAGCCAGCAATAGAGACTATTAACTCTGGCTGCAGACAGAATCTGGCAGACATTCTCAGGTATCGTAAAGCTGAATTTGGCTCCTGAATCTATGAATTAGAACCTTACCATAACTGAGAGTAAGTACCAGTTTAAAAAGTGCACAGAGGAACCCAGTTAAGCCAGTCGAAGCCCAGAATCTGAACTTGAGTAGAATTTTGCATGGGTTTTTCCATAGTTATGGATTAAGACTGAAACACTGAAACTAACCTTGAAATTAAACTAAGGATACCTTTGAAAAAGACCTAGTAGTCAGTTTAGGCACATGGATTCTAATCTCTTCAGCCTTAAGGTCATCTTGAAGTACTCTCAGCTACTGATTGTTTTCCACAGGTAAGAAAACTCAGTGCCAGCCAGAGAACATCTGATATTGACTGTGAATTTTAAACTCATTACTTTCTCTTCTGTTCCTCAAGATAGAGTGAAAAGATTTTATTTCCTTTCCTCTTGCAGCAGACTATTACACTTTTCAAGATTGTTCCACAATGCAGAACAGAGCTACCAATTGTTAATGGGCATCTCCTTGTCTACTGCGTCACTACTTGTTCGCACAAATTTGCAGGCTTTTTGTGTTAAAAACCATCAGCATCAGTGAAAGCTATACATCTGCAAAGAAATGCAAACTACAAAAGATGCATTTTTCTTGAAGGCCCTTCTCTCCTTACTCTCATGTTAAACTTTCTTTAACCATGATCAAAATACTAAATATTCCTCAAAACTAGCATAAAAATCCTAAAGCTTTAACCTGTGCTGTGACATGGAGAGGCAATATAGCTATGTTATAAAATTTCCAGTAAACTCCTAGCTCTTTTCACTTACAGCCGTACAGAGTATAGCTAAGCTCATTAAAATCAGTGGGAGTTGAACAATAAAATAACCTTGAATATCAAACCTACATCTATCTACAAATACACATTTACACAGTAGTATGTTATCAGTTAGCAGCACACAAAGTGTCACATAAAGACAAAAGTAAGGATATATAGACCTGAAAATACAGGTGGAGTTCCTATCTCCCCATCTTTATATGAAGACTCATATTTCATTCTCTAGAAAACTCAGCAAAAGCATTTGAGTAAAACTCTCTATAGCAAATCATTCTATCTTTTGCACAGATCAAGACCAAAGCAAGGCCTAGAGCAGATTTGTGGTGGCGAGTGCTGTCACACAGCCTTCAGCGGAACAGACGCTCGCTGAGCCGAGCACCCGGGACACCACCAGTGTTGCTCTTTTCCTCCTGCCTGCAATTCCACACCAGTGGGGACTGGTTTAAATGGTGTGGGATTAGCACAGCTGGGGTAAGTTTAATAGCACAAGGCCCTAACCTGACCTTTGCTCTGATGTTTTCATGTTTCCCAAGAACTGCAAACAGGAAGTAAGCTGGATTTGAATGCTATGAAGGGGTTACAGAAGAGAATTCTTAAATGCTTTAAACTGATGTTGCAGCTTTTCCGTTATTCATATCCTCAGTCATATACTCGACACCATATAATTGTGGAAATCCTCATGTCGGCAAAGCAGTCAATAAAACAGAGCACATAGGGACTCTCCACATGCTGAGTTATTCTGTTTTAACGCTTGTTTTTTGGACAAGTTTCCTGGCTGCAGCTGATAATATTGCCTGTGGTTATCTTAACTTCAGTTTCATATACTTTTTGCCTGGCAATTACAGAATGCTATTGTTCCTGCAGGTCTAGTCTTGTATTTACTCCTTGCAGAACACACGCGGCTTCTGAACGACAGATACTGTGGAAAGCACAGCGCAAAACCCAGCACAGAAGACATGGAGGACTCCAGCCATAAGCAAGCAAAGCCAGTGTCTGAGACATGTTAGTAAAGCAGGCACTGTATACGTAAGTGTCTCATGTTCTGGTTGTTCATTACGTTATTTATGGTACAATTTATTTTTCTTCATAAATACATGTGAGCGTACTGCAGGGCAGAGCTTCCAGGAGAAACTGGCGTCAGGAGCATCAACATTTTTGGCTACGATATTTTGCGATGACAGATTTCAGCAGCCCAAACTCTACTGCTTCCTACCTTTCTTGAATAACTCTTGAGTTGCTCAATGTCAGAATCTTTTGCAGTTAGTAGAAATGTTGCTTTTCTTAACACATACAGTTATGCCTCTTTAAGCCATGTTTCATAATTCCTCTTTCTCCTACAGAAACACAATTGGAACTGCAGGGACTATACAACCTGCTGTTCAGAGCATGTGGATGTTTTCAGACTCTCTTCTGCCGCAGAAATGGTGGCAACATATTTTGTATGGCTTCTCAAATTCAGAGCTGGCAACTAGTTTGATCTAATGCTACAGTTCTATTCAGGGCTTTGCTCTTTCCTTTAGCTTGGCCTTTCTCCAGCAGCAAAAAAAATGGATATTTACTTGAGAATGCTATAAATATTGTAAGATTAATCAATTCTACAGCAAGCTCCTCACTGCTGACAATGAGAAATAAGGGGATAAATGTAAGTCTGGGAGAATATTTACAAGCATAAAAATAGTCTACTACTTAAAGTACAGCCTATCTTGTAAACAGCCCAAATATTGCAACAATTAGCATTAATCAAATCGCATTCTGAAGAGTATGCACAGCAATATGAGCAAAAGCTGGGAGAAGAAATTTTGTTAAGCTTAATCCTCAACTGAAAATATAAAGTTTATGTACAGATTCTTAGCGTAACAGAAATTGGCAAGTGTGTAGATCAGGTTTACTCAACCAAAAAGTCATGGTGAATATGCACAGCATGAAATTTTTAGGAATCATGTGTAAATTTCTGAAAAAATATTTCACAAATTCCCACCAAAAATTTTGATTTCTTTGTTCAGCATTTTCTTACATGTGAACCTAATTCTCAGTTATACAGCTTCTTTGCCAGAGTAAGCTTCATACAACTAAAATCTGAGTAACTCCAATGGATATTCTTGATAATCAGTACATAAACCATACATTAAAATGCCAATTTTTGACTCATGCATGGGTAATACATTTAAGCAAGCATATTTATGCCTTTCTGTGTATTTAAATGTATGCCCAAGATAAATGCAAAGTATCTTAGTGTGTAGATAGATAAATGCAAGATATCTTGCAAGTCCTATTGCAAGAAAATAGTTATCTACTATTTTAGCTCCGTGAATATAGTTCAGCAAAAGAAAAGAGAAATTACATGCTCCCTCCTTAAAAGACTGATTATCTCTTCTGGAAATGCCAGAGCAAGGAGAAGGAAAAGCTCATGCGCAGTGAATTATTTATCCCTTTTCTGACAACTGTAAGTTTAAAAAGGGTAAAAAATGAATTATTAAATTGATGTAATGATAAAAAAATCAGCTTCTTCATGCACCCAATGGTAAAAAATAACCAATCAAAACTATGAGGAACTGTCAAATAAAAAAATCCTCTGGTTTAAAAAAAGTTTAGCTTTGATCGCTTAGAGAAAAGGTGAAGAACACTTCAAGTGCCTTTTCTTGGCAGGTGACACACAAGGAAAATCCTTTTAAACAAACTTCCTTTAAAAACCTGTTACCTTCAAAATGATCTCAAATGTAAACATACTAGTGAAGACATAATCTGCATACCCTAGGATCTGGAAGGTAAACAAAAAGTTACAAACATTATTGCTAAAGCTGCTTTTGAGCTAACAAGGATCAGTTAACAATGCATTACCTTTAACAGGATTTCAACAGTAAAGATGGCTGTGAAAGCATAGTCAAAGTAACCAAGTATCTGCAAGGTATAATATGTGCCACAGTAAGAAATCCATCTATTAATCAATTTTTACAATTTAGACCACATGCACAACAACACCTGAATTAGTCTAAGTAGGTAAATGGGGAATTTAGACAATGTAGTTTAAAATTCCAGCTATAGTGCAACCACTTTTATTTACTTAAAAATTTATCAGATGTCACCATTCTTAGATATTAGATTTCATTACTAAAGAGTTAACAGGACCCAATAGGCAACACTTTCTTTCAATTCAGACTTTCCTCTATCAGCTTTCACAGGTACTTTCTTCAGCCTTTAGTAGAGATACAGAATCTTACACAAAGAATAAACAGTTTTTAGTAATAAATATTTTCTTTTTTTTTTACCAAAGCATTGCATCAAAAAATAAAGCTTCAATGGATGCTTCTAGATTACACATTCTACATACTGCTACATTATATTGTTCCTGTATAGACGAGGCTGGAGTGTTACAAAGCAAATTAATGAATAACTAAATTACTTAAAATCAGCGCTTTTTTTCTTGAACCTGGAAGGTACAGCAGTGATTTACTTCTAGAAAAGAACCCACAACTGTTGCATAGCGATATGCAAACTTTCAAAAAGAATGTGGAAGTGATATTGACCTCACTGCTGTTGACAGGAACACTGCCATATATTTCACTACAACCAAGATTTCACCTTTTCAAGGTGGCCAGATCACTAGCACCTAATTTAGTGATCGATATGCACTGCAGTAGTGTACTCGTTTAGCTTCAAGGATCCAGCAATCCAACTAGCAAACAGTTGTGCACAGAAACATATTTCTTGTGATTCAGCAACTAATAAAATGGCAAGTAGAAATACAATAAAGAGACAATGAACAAAGAAGTATTCCTATTAGATCAAAAAAAGGAAGTAATTTTTTCCCCACGTTGACTTGAAGATCACATCCTTCTGTCCCTTGCTGTGGCTGAAAAAATAGGCAAATATTAAAGCCATTTAACAAAGATTAATCAGTAAAGAATTCATTCTAGAGTTTAAAAAAATAAATATGTAAAGATATTCCAGTTTGTAAACTTTCATTCCCCTGCTGATTGAAGGAACATGATCATTTAAGGTAATAACAAGAATAGTAGACAGGTCTGGTGCATTTGTGAATATTTACAAAGAGAGCAATGCTTTCCTGAAATCACTCACACATTTTTCCTGCATCCCAAATAGGAATAATCGTTTCAGTTACCACCTCTCTCCAGTTATATTTTCCTAGTACTCCTCTAGTTACAAAACCAATTATCAGCTCTTCAAGCCATTTCTACAATAACAATTCCAGTATTGCCCACCAGCTCTCTTTTTCTTATTCATTAGTGTGATTTATTCATAAGAGTGCACTTGTCCAACTTTATAGATATGGGAAGCACACAGCTCTGCTGAATAGTACATGAAAAGTGGCTTTGTGCTTTGACCTCTTTTTACCTTTGAAGAAGTTTCAGCTTTTTGGTTTTTACTAATATTACTGAAAAAATGGTCAGAGAATGTCAACAGCCAAAAGAAGACTTTCAGAGGCTGCATCTACACTAGGAAGAACTAGAGGGATACAACCTCTACCTAGTAGGCCCGCCTTTCCTGTAAGAGGCAGAAGAGTTTCTCTAACTCCATGGCACTCTTTACAGATTGTATCTAAAACAGGAGAGGCCTGCAAGTTCTGTCAAAGTATCCCAAAAGTTCCCACAGACTATTACCAAGTTGCATCATCTCAGCTATTTCATACCTAATCTAAAGCATGCACAACTCACAATAACGTGAGAGGTTTCCTTCACCACTCATACAAGTGCAACAAGTGTAAGACAAACATTAGCGGTCATGAGAGTCGAGTTATTTTTGCTTCTCTGTCTAATAATTGTGCATTTAAGTAACAGGCAAGTCTTCCACTATATTAAGAACTTAAAATGAAGGATTCAGGAATTTTTTTAGGACACAGATGTTTACTTACTACATAAACTACACTTTTATTAAATAATAGAGACATTTCTGAAATGAGTATTCTTACAAATACTTTGTTTCTACAAGTATATCTAAAAAAGGATGCAAAAACACTTCCAAATTTTCAGGTTTGTAAATAGGCTGAAATGGCATTTGACTGTGAATCAAGGCAAGAGCTGGGCATGCTCCAATCCTCACCTTACATGCGAATTTAGAAAAAAGTGAAACTTGTTTAGTTTCTGATTTGGCCAATCAGGAATCCAAGGATCTTTGGGACCAATGTGGTGGTACTCAAACTCATTAGTGTGGCCACACTAGCTTCTTTGAAAGAAAAGGTAGTATCCTTATGAAGGTACACACTCACCAACAGAATAATACTTTGAGATCCCCAAGACCATATAATAGAGTCAACGACGGAGAAGAGAGGACAGGTCAGAGACTATACCCTATGTTATGAACAGTGATAATTTTAACTGGTACTTTTAAACCAGTGTCAAACACTGAGAGGCACTAAGAGTGATTCAGGAAATGTGCATCAGGTACCCCAGCTGAAAATTATTAAAAAATATGAAAATTATAAAGATTATGCTCAGCTTGAGCATATTTTATTCTGATATATTAACAGCCAACAAAGGAAAAAAAACATGTACATAATAAATGGTTCTAATACCTATGAACTTCCATCAATAAAGTTATTTGTCTTTGAAGATTTATGTTTTTTAAAGCAAAAAAAATACAAATGTATGTTTTGAAAAAGGAAAAGGAAAGTTTCTTTACTTGAAAATTAAAACCCGGGCACTAGTCCCAAAGGATTGTTATCCTGTGAGGATATATTTATCTTCAGACACAAAAATGAAGCGCTTACATTATTTCGAAAAGAGTGGCTGCGAATTGGATCTTCTGCTGCTAGGGAAACACTGCTCAGCATGATGAAGACAAGGATGAGATTGGTAAAGATGTGGTGATTGATGAGTCTGTGGCATCCCACTCGAATTCTGAAGAAGAGATACAAAAATATACCATGTGTGCAAATAGAATTCAGCAGATGGCTAATATACAGCATGTTTTCTATTACTCTGCCAACAACGACAGAACAGAGCAACCACCAGAAGCTAAAAACAGTGCAAATGCTGAAGTTATTGCTCTGATTTCTAAAAATGTAAATAAAGTCAAAATCCAATCCACCTGTACTGAAGATGCACTTATCAAAGGAATCTGAGACAGGATTTCCCAGCTCCTGTTGGTTTTCAATGGCTTATGAATGCCACTATAAGTTCCAGTGTTTACACCACTGTGCGCACATAGAGGACAATGTCAAAAGTACCAACGCTAGATAATAAATCATTTCAGATCCCTAGTTTGATTTGATTCTTATTAAAGCTGTTAAAAATACTCATACGGTAAGATGTGGCTTAGGCTGCAGATTTCATTGTGCTACTTAAGAGACTCAACCCAAATCAGAATTTCCTGTGAAGATTTTCTATAGAATTGTAGGACAAGTGGGTGTCGAAGATTACAGAGCTGCTAAGTTTCAGCCACATAATGTGAAGTGAAACAGTACACATGCTTAGAGTCACTGAGCCCAAAGTTATTACAAATGCTATTGAGCACCTTGCTAGAGCAGGTCCAGGATTAACTTGGCAAAAAGGCAGGATCAGGTTCATAATTGACTATCACTGAAGTTGTCTAAATTTTGCTGAAGAATCAGAAGGTTCTTGGGGAAAATTTGTTCTCCTGTTACTAAGTAGATGATTTGAGTATAGTGTATCTTAGTTAAGATAGCCATTTTGGCCTGAGAATATGTAGCATTAATTGAGGCCAAAAGCAATTTGACACGTTCAACAAATCTAATGTTTTTGCATTCAGCACACAAGTTCTTAAAATTATCAGTTTAAATAGCTCTCTTTCCAGTTCATTTGAAAATTCTGAAGTGTTAGACAACCCATGTAATGAATAAGATACAAGCTCAAAACATTGTATCTTGATCATCACGCTATCTTCTAAACTTAATTGTGATGACCTCTACCACTGAGAAGATAGTATTCTCCCATGCCAAGTAACTCTTAAGCTCCCTTCTAAGGCTGCTCATGAAATTGCTATATATAAATGTAACAGTTATGTTCAGTCTGTAGGAACTGAATTTAGTTCACTTGCTCACTTCCATCCAACCATAAGTAACGACTTTTACTGATTACTGAAGCGTGCTTTCTTCATCAGTTCAGAGCTTCAAATGCTCTGGAGTTAGACCGAGCAGTGAAAGATTCCAATTCCCCCCATAATCCAACTATTACTGTTCTTGATTTTTGAAATCATTTGTCCTTACCTTCAGTGTTTGCTTGAATCTGGGAAAATACTGTTACCCCAAGAGGAATATATACATCCTTTCTCTGTCTTTTCTGTTTTCTCTCTTATTTTCCCTTCTCTTTCCTCATCTGTGTTGGTCCACAAAGGTTCCTAGGGTTACTAGGAATCCTATCTCATGTAGAAGATGCTCAGATCTTATGTCACACCTTTTATATCCAGTGACTAACATATCAAATAACTAATATCCACTAAAGGATATTTTTCAGACATGTGCGGACTTGACAGACGATATGTACAAAATGCTATTATCTTCAACAGTCAGAAGCAAATTTATGTATATATTTATCAAGTTCTTTTCATTTACCATGTGATTCAGAAAATTTATTCCGAAAATTCTCCTGTTGAAGATACTGGAGTTCTATTCCTGACCTCACTGGAAGGAAGCCTGTTCCTTCACTACTAAACCTTGATGGACTAAACCAGTATTTTTCAAAATTGTATTTACGGATTGGTGCTGCTGAAAATGAAGAAGGCACTCCCTTCAGGGATCGGTGTTATCTTCTCCTTCATATTTAGTTCTGATATTCTACGGGGACGTGGGCCTGCTGGTACCTCTGGTTCATCCTCTTCATCTTCTTCATCTTCACCTACTTTAAATTAAACACTTTTTTACTATAAAATAAAAATTAATTAGGTTTTGTTCATAAAAATATAAAAGCATGGCTTGTATTAAAATGTATACGGCTTATAGGAAATATACATTCATAGCATGGCTTTAAAAATCTATGAATCGATATATATAACATACATATAGTTGTCATGAGCTTATATACATGTTTACATGCATATACGGGTGTGTGCGTAAGTGCCGTGACTGCACTAAGAGACTTTACTGTCCCTGACCAGCCTCATCTGGGGTCTCCATTAACACCCCCTACACATGGGCTCTGGAGCCCCAGTTAAGCTCAGCCCCTGACCTTCAGTCCACGCCTGAGCTGTGCTGTAGCGGTGCTGAGTTTGTGCAGTGGTTGAGCAAAACCAGGAAAAGATAATACTCAGCAGTTTACAGGCCCATTTATCCACTGGTAATAGAGCACACCTTCACCGACTTCAAAGAAATTGAATCAGTGCTCAGCAAGAGCAAGTTTAGGATATTTGAGCAAACAAACTTAAACGTGTTTGTCTTTAGGTTGGTATTCGCATACCTGGTACATCACAGGGTGGATAGGGATCTTTGTCCTCATCCTCTCCTTCTCCATATTCAGCAATTGTCACCTACAGCAATGAAAGGGATGCACAAGAACAATAAATATAAATATAGCTTGGAGCATAAAGTTTGACAGAAAGCAAACCAAATAAGACTCTGAAGTCGGGGAAGTGATCCCTATGCTTAGTCTGAGTTTTCTGAACTAGGGTAAACTCTGAGAACAGAGGAAAGCTGGCAGTTTAATACACATTTTTAAAAAATGATTTTTCTATAGTATCCACATTCTTCTGGCTGTGTAGATCACAATGAGTATATAACCAACAGGCTTTGGTAAAAATTACCAAGAATGTTTGAATATTCTACTAAAAGTTTATCATTCACTAATCTCTTCCATTGGATTTATCAGGCAAAGAACCTATGGGGATCCTAAAATAACATCAAAGTTTTCTAACATTAACTATTTCATGCTCTAAGAGCTTTCCTTCTCAGGATATCCTGAAACCAAAAGGTTGTTCTGGGTTAAGAGATTCTGTGAGGATAAAAAGCATCAGAACTGAGTTTTCTTCACCTGGAAAAAATGTAGGGATAATGGGTTCATAAAAGAAATTGTACAACGCACAGTAGTCTTGAAAAGCACTACCTAGCAAAATTGGTAAAACTGCTTCATAGAAAAGACACAATTTTTAGAATAAACACCTTACTATCCTTGGGCTTCTTTTGGTCACCTTCTGACTTCTCACTTTTTTTATTTTCCAGACTCTCTTTTCTACAAAACAAAACAACAATTACAAAGCACGTCATGTAAAGACAGAAGATTTTAAGTGAACTATACCCATTCTATGAAAAGTTAAGAAAGCATACACAAAATCATATAATAAAATATTTAAAATTATTTGCACAGCTGCAGGTCTCAGCAATAAAATCTATTCCATTTGAATGCAGTGATCCAGTTAAAAGATTATAATTCTGAATATAATTCCAGAAGCAAATCCCTAAAAAATTCAATGCACGATCATTACTCCTTTCTAGAGGGATAAACTGTGCCCTTGGACTCATACAAACAACTGGCATTGACTTCAATAGGCCTGCACCGATTTCAAAGGAAAGTTTTCTTCTTGACTATATAAGGCTTAGAGATCTCATTCCACAGGGAGCTGTGCACTGGCAACAACAGATACATTCTTGTTCTAATTGTGCAATAAATTCTACCACTGCAGTGTTTAAATATCAGTTGGCTTATCATTATGTCCTTAATTCATCACATTTTCCCAATTACTGCCCAACTTTCATCTAAAATCATATTAATTGGGTCTTAGCTTAATATCTAGGTAAAGACATTCATTTTTTTTCCTGAGTCCAATAAATTTTGAAGATGGTAAAGACATTTATATAAAATAAAGAAAATCCTTATGAAAGAATTCAGTACCCTCCTCCTTCTCTCTCCCGCTTATTCAACATGCCTGTGCTATTTTACCTCGCATTCTTTTTCCTTTCTTTTTCTTCAGCTTCTTCTTTCTGAGCTGTATTTAGACTTTCAGCATCTGCCAAGTTATCCACAGCAATGGCCAAGAAGACATTTAGCAAGATATCTATTTCAAATCGTTTTAAGGACGTTATGCCTTAACACAACTTGTTTGGTTTATTATCAGCATAAACACTGACAATGTGAGAGATATAAAACGCATGTTCCCAACCTACAGCGTAGAGATCTGTGACGCTGGAGCGCAGTGCAAATAACACTCATTTAATGGACTAGATTAATACTGGGTATAAAACGAGCAGAGATCCATTAGGGTTACTGATTTTAAAATAGCGGAACACTTGACGTATTTTTTAAATAAACAAAATTTAACTTTATGCTAGCAAGTTTCAAAGATGAAGCGTTATCTATTCAAAGTGAAGACTGTTCAGGCATTTTGAAAAATTTATAATGCACTATTTTCTGTGTCTACAACAATCTATATCAAATTCTGTACTTCAGTCCATAACAGCTAAGTGCAAATACTAATATAAGTACCGTATAGTACAGAAAATAGAATATTTTTGCCCTTTTATCACCTCCTGACCTTTTAAGAACTTCTGAGAACGACACTAGTTTCTGTTGCTTCATGAGGCCAAGGAAGTATTTCCAGTACACTGAAGGCAGGAAAGGGGAATGCTTCAGCAGGTTTAATCCTAACAGATTAATCCTATTTGATTAATCCTGATTTCTGCGTGCAGATTTTTCTCACCTGGTCCCTGCACTATACAATGGATCACTGGCTCCACTGTCAGTGTGTGTCAGAATTAACAAGGCTATACCTCCTAGAGAAATCTTGCATACGTCTCCGGCACACAGCCCCATTTGGAGATGTTTCCAGTGACTGCAAAGGATACAGTTACCACAGATGAAGAGGATAATGAAATATATACAGACTATCATGCCTGATGATGATGGGCCACCGTATGCCATTATGCCATCATACATAACAGCATTCCAGTCTTCACCTGTTAGAATCTAAGAAGCAGATATATTATTAGTAACTCAACATCAAAAACACCAACAGAGAAATACATCTCCTCTGACCACAATACACAATAAGGCTAACCTTCTGCATACATAAAGCAATGCCATAACTTTTTCATGAATTGTTTTAAAATTTCCATTTAAATAAGCATCTCCTGAAAGCATCTGTTTAACTGTACTAGTTTTTATTTTATGCTATGCATTTACATCACTGGACTTCAAAGACAAACCAATAAAAGTAGAAGCCTATAAATGTGTCGATTTTGGCATGCAAAAGACCCCTGTTTTTCAGTAATGCCACATATGTAGCAATGCCCGCAAATGCTCATCACTCTTGAAAATCAAGTTAGTGTACGTTTCAAGGTTCTCTTTTTTTTTTTTTTTTAAATAGTTGCCACAAATAATTTCTAGTGTATGCCATTTCTTAGTCCTGAAAATTGGTCTACCAGTTTCAGTTTTAACAGGGACTGGCTGCCTTACCATAAATTATATAATACATGTACCACACATACACACTGGTACAGCTTTTGGAAGAGTAGCTATTTTAAACTGAATGGAGCTCAATGCTGTGGGAGAATTACATGATTTTCTTATTGGCTATGGTTTCACATAATTTCACAGAAGTCTAAAAGAATTTTACAGAAATCTGTCAATTAGTTAAAAGGACAGTTTGAAATGAGGCAACTGTGCTTTTTCTGTACTACGACAAAAATTCTGAGTATTACAATGCAGGTTTATAGGGGCACTTTATAAATTTCTAAGTAACTTCTTAAAAATTATCAGTTCTATGCTGAGAAAACGTAATATTGACTCTCCTTCCAGGTAATTACATGGTGGTTCAGGAAAATTATAATGCGTGCCAATTTCTGAAATTTATTTTGGCAGAGCTAAACTTATCAAGCCGATCCTCATCGTTGCGGAGCACCCAACAGGTTGGTTGCTCCTAATTGTATTCTGAAACTGAAGGAAGCCTCATTCATTTGAAAACAAAGCAGCCTAAAATCCTAATAAAATCCAACTCGGCTGAGTTTGAAAGTACAGCCTCAATTTTTTAAAGGGGCAATGTCAGGTCAACTGTGGACACTTTTCCTCTTAAGGAAATTTCTCATTAAGATTTCCTTATGTTAAAATTACACGGAAAGATGTTTTGCTTGCTTTTGGCAGTCACCAGATGAAAATCCTACCAAAGAGACAGGAAGTTGACTCAAGAGTCCTGCAGTGTCAGCTTTAAACACTCACCTACAATGTCTAAAACCAAACATTGGGGTAATGTGCAAAGCTGAATCTCAAAATGGCTAGAAAGATAAAACCAATTAGCCTAATTCCAGTATCCAAATCAGGAAAAATGAAAAAAAGGATCATAAAATAGTGAGAATTAAGCTGTTAGTATGGACCTATCTTTTCACAAGTAACAGACAAGTTGCTATAAAATTTCAGTAAACGTGGCAGTGTCTCTTTAAAGAAATTCGTACTTTTTTTATATTATAGTAAGTGATATGACCCATATGGAAATATGCACTCTTACAACGCTTCTCATTTTTTCCTGCCTGGGAATAGCTGAACCTTTATAAAGCTAATGAAGTTAAAGGAAACAACTTGATTAAAATAAAAATAACATTCCACCTCTTTTCCTTGTCATGTATTTGATGAACAAAGGAGATTTAATTTTGTGAAGTAATATGACAGCTATGTTGCATAGATAGATCAAATAAGACATGAAACAAATGGTATAAATGGTGCAGAGTTACCAGAGTACTGAGTTTAATGAACAGAATGCTACTTAAAGTAAACTGAATAAATAGTATTTGTGATTTTATTTTCAGGCAACATGATCACTGAAACAGTTTTGTTGATCATCAAAGGTAAAATGTTTCATACGGGATGAAAGAAAGTTACCTGGAATACAGTTAAAAGAGCTTGTGGAAAATTATCGAAGGTGCTCCGTTTTGTTTGAGTTTCATCAAAATTAAATTTGCCTCCAAACAGCTGCATTCCAAGCAACGAGAAGATTATGATGAAGAGGAAAAGCAGAAGCAACAGTGAAGCAATGGACTTCATTGAGTTTAACAAGGATGCTACCAAGTTGCTCAGGGATGCCCAGTGCCTATAAATTAAAATGCGTGTGTTACACACCAAAAAAACCCAAACAAAACAGTAAAAGAGCAGAGCATGATGAAGTATTACAAAAGAATTGCTGATCACCCTTCAGCTATCCTTAAAGTTAGCAGTATTAGTTAATCTTACCTTGTTACTTTAAAAATACGCAGGAGACGAACACAGCGAAACACTGAAATTCCAAGGGGCGACATAATTTCCAATTCCACCAAAATGGTTTCAACAATGCCACCACAAACAACGAAGCAATCAAAGCGGTTAAAAAGAGAAACGAAATAAGCCTGTAGGCCCAAGCTGTACATCTTTACTAACATTTCACAGGTGAATAAAGCCAGAAGAACCTTATTTGCTATATCTGGAACAAAATAGAAAAAAAAAAAGTCATTAAGTCATTCCTGAATTGTCTCATAGATTCCATTTTTATGTCAACATATTAGTACTATACTTTCTATACTATTTGCAGCCTTTTGCTTAAGAAGGAATTACTATTTCTTTACATTGGACTGTACTTGATGCCCGAGTGGCAAAAGTTACAGAAGGATGTAAAGCTTCCTGCCACCTATAAAGTATTCATCTTTCCAATCTGTTGTGCAGTTCATGGCTGCTCAACTCACAGCCTGAGTCCATGCTCCAACTTAAGCAACACAGCCCACAGCATGTTCTGCTGGGCCAGTTACCATTTCCTTCCTCATCTTTCAAGCGTGGTTTAACAGTAACAGTCCAGGTATTTGCAACTTAGTATAGTCAGTTTTTTGCTGGTATGGCATTAAGCTGTGTTGCAGTTGTGGAAATCAAATACATTCAGTTATTTCTTGTATCTCCCTTTAGCTGGGTTGAATATCCTTCAGGACAGCAAACAAAAACAGAATGGCAAAGTACAAAAGTAGGCGCTGACAGACTGCAAGTATCCATAGTCAAAAACAGGACAAATAATTTTTGATTGTACCTTGGATCTGGGTCAGCCAGTCAGGTTGATTATAATGTTCCGATGAGATAGTTAATGTGTTCAGAAAGACCAAGACAATAACAAGCCAATAAAATGTGACAGATTTTACTGCAGCTCTACATTTTCTTCTATTAAATCGATTCCAGCGACGCCAGCGTCGACTGAAAGTTCAAATAAAAACAAATATATTATTATACAGAAAATGCATATGAACTTAAGGAGGGTTTCTTCTGCGTAGAAAACATAGTGTAAGTATGTATATGAGAGCAGGTGTATTTTCATAAATATGTGCACAATATTTAGTTGTGTAAATTATTACCAGTTGCAGATTAGGGAGTGTGAATTTGTTACTCCTTTTTTAGATTTCATTATAGACTTTTAAATGTAAACCACAACTTTTAGAGACTCTAAGTGCCTGTGACATAATTAGATAAAGCTGCATTTAACATTTCATTGAGTAACAAGATATATCTGCCTTCCCAGACCCCATACACTTAATAGGAGTGAAGAAAAGCCAATGAAGCAACTCAGAATTCAAATTACATTTAGTCTGAAAATGTAGGTTTTGAGCTAAACCACAGGCACAATTCTTGTGGGATTAAACAAGGCAGGAATGTTGAGATCAATGTTTAGAAATCTACCCTATAATGTTAGAAAACTCAGTCAGTGACTCCTAGATATTTCTACTGATGTGACTTGAAATTGTGTCAGTGGGCAAATGTTTGTGAAATGAATAAGAGTGACAATCAAGGATGAATAAACTGGCTCTATCTAGATATGAGTTAGATTCACAAGTGAGGGTACTAACTTAACTTTGGACTCATAAAATCCCATTTGATTTCTCTGCTTCACTTCTGGGAACTTTAGTAAACCAATTAGTCACCCTAGGGTTTCATTTCCATTTGTGAAACAGGAAGAAAATATACTGCTCGGTCATAGGAACAGAAGGATTAGGAAGCACTTGGTATCACCTAAAAGGGAGGCATATAAAATTCACCCACCCAGCACCACAGCCTTGGACTCAGATAAAAAATTTTAGGAATCAACAACTGCTTCATCCAAGATTCAAGGGACAGAGAAGGCACAGACTCCAATGGAAGCTTGACCTAATCTTAAAATAGCAAAGAACTGAGAAGAGTGCACATGTATAAGCTTCTTCCTCTATAGTTTCACTATCAAGCCAGTCTAGCATGAATCTGTTGTGATGGAAAGGACTCATCTGCTCTCCTTGTTCTTCTCTCTCCTTTCTCTTTTGCCAAAACTGGCCCTAAGGAAGAGAGCCAGACCTGAGACCTGACTAAGGGAAAGCAATCTCTTTTTTTCTGGGTTGATTTTAGCCAGTCAGTTGTCTGATCCATTTCATTGTATTGCCACATCACAGCAAGAGCGGAAAGAACGAGTGGCTGAGATAGGGGAAAGGCACTGCGGCCCTTTTGGCAGAACCACAAACATGGAACCACGGCTTTTGAAAACTGTTACAAGTAAGTAGGTGAATTTCATAATACTTTTAGTGTGTGAATTAGCAGGTATTGTATTTAGTATGTATAAAATCAGAAATGCTTTAAATCTGCCTCAGAAAATAGAACCAATATGCAATAACATCACCATAAAAATAACTGAGCTTGGCATTGCATTCAAGCATTAACTGAATTTTCCTTAAGCACTTTAAATATTAACTTGTAGTAATGGAAATCAATACTGGTTTCAGACATCAGTACAAAGATGTTTCAGGCTTTTGCAGTATTCTAACCATATAAAGGAAAAATACCCTGTCCTGACCTAAATCAACACAGTATTTAAGAAAATTCTTATCTTGCCAGTCCCCTGCTGAACAGGGCTATGTCACAGAATGGTCAGGGTTGGAAGGGACCTCTGGAGATCATCTAGTCCAACCCCCATGTCCATGTCCATCATCAGGACACTCACTCCCTGGGTAGGTAAAACAGCCTTTTTTTTTTTTTTTTTTTTTTTTTACACTTACTGAACGTTCTGTCATCGAAGTAAGTGAGACAAGAGTAACACTGTTTGGATATCTCTACTTCTAGGAGCCAAAAGCAGTCTCAAAGTGTGTAACTCATAGCTCTCCAACACCAATGGGGATTTTTTTCCCCCCATAAGGTCTGAGGAATCAGTGACAAAACAGTGGTGCACAGATGAAAATGCTGTCAAAGGGTGTGCAACAGCACTCACATGTAGAAGCATATGAATAATACAAGCACATGTAAAAAGCCTACAGAAATAAAGCAAAAACTAAAAAAGGAGAATAGGAGTAATTTTCTACCTTCATTAGAATGGTGCAAGCAAAGAAATAACTAGTAAGTAGCAGACTGAAGTAGATGGCCTGTTGTGCCAGGAAAACTCATGGCTATATAAAATAAAAACCCAAATTACACTATTTTCACTAAACAGTTTTCTATTTTTTAGTAACTGCCCCTCCTAGTTTTAACCAAATAGCATCATTTTTTTCTGGAAGAATGAATGTGTTCTCTTTTATTTCAAAGAGAAATTCCATTTTCATAAATTTGCAATGATACAATATTGCTGTCATGAAATTATCGAGCATTTTTCACAAAATATAGCAGTTGAATAAATATTAAAATCACAGAGAACACTTACAGAATCATAGAATGGTTTAGGTCACAGTTTGTTACAATAAACCAAATTATTCACTGCTTTTGGTCTCATTAAATAATTTATCATTTTTTCTTCATAACTATTTGTGAGCAAATAATTATTCTTACAAATGTGTTCCCAATTTCACTTTCAATCACTTAGACATTCATGCTTAGTTGGTCCTTTAGGCCTCTGTCTTGTATTTGAATCCACACATAGGAAATCCAGCCTTGCATTGAGTCTGACTGAACTCCATGTCAGTCAGTCAGTCATGCAGAATCTACAAAGTTTAGTTTGTTTACTTGTTATTCATGTGTGTTCGTGTATTGCTACTAGACCTACACAAAGATAGGAACATTCATTTTCGGATTATTTTGTTATCAGCAGCCTTTAACTATAACATGGTATTTTTCTAAACTGGACTTTCTGTTTAGAGCCACATGCATAACCCCTGTACCTGTGAAACTGGCGTGCTTCGTATTTTCTCCAGTAAGCTCACAGAGAAGTAAGTACTAATGCCCAAGATTAATTCTTCTTCGTTGAAGAGCCGGCAGCTCTTCAAAGTGCTTTTTCCCTCTGATAACAGAAGTTGTCAGCTGTTTTTAGGGATCTGGGACATGGCACAAGCCACATCTGTTTGGAAGACAATGGCACAACTACAAGTTTGAGCTCTGTTGCCTCAAAACTACTCCTCACATGGACTCATTAAGTTAAAAGGGATAAATCTTTCTCCAGTGCTACAAGGAAAGATGTGAAAGTCGAAAGGGGAATTCCCATTGCCAAATTCAGCTTTAAAAGTTCAAGAATGGTTGAAGACCTCAAGCAGCTGCAGACCCCTGCAGCACTTCCGAATGAGAGACATCAACATGCCGTTGCCGATGGCCACAACTTCTGTGAACAGATGCAGCAACATATGTATGAATGAACTTCTGTGCGACTTGCGCTTTTAAATGCCACAAGAACAGATTCTAATCAAAAAGCTCATGCAAAAGACATTTAGGACAGTGGCAGAATCTCGACAGCTGGAGATGCTTTGGTGGCTTTCTGGCTTGCAAATAAGTTTTCCTTCAAATTGATGTGCTGATTATGAACAATGATTGTAGAGATGGATAGCACTGCCTGCTTCCTTACTCACTGCTTGGACTATTAAAAACATCAGGTTTGGATAGAAATTTTCCTTTCTCAAAGATTTCATAGCAGCTTTCATTTAACAGAGCTTCTGGAGTCCTCATGTTCCTTAAAATACGAATAATGGGCACGTTCAGAATGTAGGCATTATGTTGCTTTCTCTGTAATGCTTCTATGAGTCCCCACTGTGCAAACAGACCAGCAGTCTATTGCACTGCCTGGTATCTGAAGTTTCACAAGACCATTTCATATTCGAGTTCCTCCTCTAAAACCAGCATGAGTAGGCTTCATAGCAATAAATAGTATGCTATAAGGTTGATCAGAGACAATCTCATGATTCAAAATAATCATGCTAGTTTGGGATCCTCAGCTTATGAAAGACTAAAATTGTTACTTTTGTTCTCCTGATACGGTAACTGGAAGCAATGGCAAGAGAAATTACAGACCATTAGCACATTGAATTGCTTTTTTTTATTAAGCTAAAGGCAGTCTCATCTCTCGTAATTCTCATGAAGGGTTAAGCTCAAAGGTCCACATGGGACATAACTGGTCCATTCAGTTGCTGTAGCTAAGGCCAACTTCTGTGGCAAAAGGCATACAAGAAATGATACAGCTTTTATCACTAAGGATGAAACTTCTAAAAAATTAGTTGTATATTCAGTACAATCCTAAATGGTCAGATCTCCATCGGCCACAGTCTTCAGCAGTGAGGCACATTTATATGCTGTCACCAGTTTGCTGGCTGAAAGGGATGACAAAAGAAAGCTTGATCATAGCATCACATGAAAAAACTCTGAGTGTAGAAAAGCACCAGTTAACTGTAGCCTGGGAACTCTTCTTCCAAAAAGAAAGACGACTATTCTGAAGGAACACAAGTCCACTCCAACTGCTCGCAACTGGTGCGCTGGTAGGTCATTAGAGCTAGTAAGGCTAGTAGAATAAACCTGGGTACGCTATTCCTCTTCGTTGCAGCAAGGAGAATACACTGCTGTTACCAATGAATGTACACCCAACACTGAAATTAGTTTCACTAGGGTTAAAAAACTGGAATGATTCCAGATGTTGCCAAAACTGCTGATGCCAGGTGTTGCCAAATCTTCTTGATTGTCCCTTTTTTCACTGAAAATTTTCTGTCAAAAATATTTATTCTGTGGGTTGTCTGCAACTGTAGGAGTGTCTTTGCCCTTCAAGTCTACCACTTGATTACTTACCTTAAATCACATAGCTATTTTTTTTGGTCCCTTCATGGAGTAATGTAACCTTTTTAAACAGAAAGAGGTATCTCTTCTGTGTTTGCAATTATCCTTTCTAATTACTAAATAGATGTCCTATAAGAGTGGAAAATAAAATCAAAATAAAGAAACCTATTGGGTTTGTACTGGCACACCCAATGTCTACAATATCAGGACTGTTAATTCTTAATTTTGCTTATAACACTTCTCTTCTGCGATCATATTTGAAAATAGAAGCTTATAGTCCCAAATGCTCCTAGTAAGTGAAAAGAGAGCCACAAATATCAGCAAATCAGGGAGTCTGATTTCCAAGAATGTTCATGGATACTTTTGTATTCACCATTAACTCTTTCGAAAATTTTTAAACAATAAAATTTAAAGTACAGTAAATAAAGAATAATTATTTAAGATCGTCATGATGTGTAAATAGTCACAAGCTAAAAAAGAGTGATGAAGAAAGAGGAAAATACTGACCTGAACTTGGATTTTGAGATGGTTTGACTAGAAGAAAAGGAAAACACATTTTTAAGAATGTGGAAAAAATAATTAACATAAATCTGTTCTCTTTATAATTTTTCAAATCATAGATTGGAATTACATATAGATAAAAGCACACTTTTAATAAAATGCATCATGAACACTGAAATTTTTTTGTCTGTTATTTATTTTCTTAAATATCATTCCTAAAGTTTTACAAATTTTCTAAGTGAAAGAAAGGAAATCTTCTTTAAAACTAAGTAAACTGCTCATATAGAAGCTCCTTGGAAGTCATGAAAATCTGAGCAAATAAACAACCACCACCACGGGATATAGAAAAAGATACATATTCTCCAGATTGTGCAAAATTTAACAGAAAACATTTCTTTTTACATGTCATAGGGGGCTTCCACTCTTCTCTTAGTATTTTGCATGATAATTATATTTTATAAAAGCTTTCAGGAAAACATGACTCCACTGGAAGTTTAGTTGAATTGGTTTATATCTTCTTACGTTGAGAATTTTAGGAGTGCTTCAATGCTGTAATAATTGGTCTAACATTAAACCACTGAAAGGCAAAAATCCCCAAAGCTTGCCTATTTGAAAGCAGTTTTGGCTAAATAATCTATGGGGAAATAATGATTCTTTTAAATTTTGAGATGACGATGGTGGGTACTTGAAAATAGTCCATGTACTCACCATAAACTCCCACAGCATGCTGGGTTCTCTCCCTCTCCGCTGACATTCTCTGTGTTCACCGATTCGGTTTCACTGGTGGGCATGCTTGCTGCAGGAGACAGAAATGGCTTTAGACTGATAGCCAAGCAAGGGATTACACAATGTGATCTCCTGTTCTATTGCAAGAATGTCTCCACTTTTTGAGAGCTTGGAAGTTCTGAGGAATAGCGGATGAAGTTAGACACTTCATCACTCCTCCTCTTATAATAAAAGAAAGCACACAGAATTCCAGAGTGTATTGTAGCTTTTTTTGGTTTCTTTTCAATGATTCAACGTAACTGTAGAGGAGTTTTGTAACAAATTGCATGCTACCCCTAGTAAAGAAATAAACCTGAGCTAGATTTTGTGACCTTTCATTTTAAGAAGTGTTCTGTCAACACTTTGGGGGTGTTTATCAGTTTAAGTGTTGTTAACACGCTCACTAATTCCAAGAAATGCCAAAGTTCTTCTAAAAATAGGAACTATCACACTGATCATACTGACCACTCTATGCTTTTACTTCCATTATGAATTATCAGGGCAAGGTGCTAGAAAGTAGTTGTGCCTACAAATACTATACTAGCAGAGGGGAAGGAGCACTGGGAATGGCAGAACGGGTGTGAGAAAGAATGATGAGAATTACTACTAATAAAAAAGGGATTATTATGTTTGCCACACAGTGAAGTACTTTACACAGAGCGGATCATTACTGAATAGTTTGCAGCTGTAGCTAATGGCTTTTTAGACATAACTCATTTGCAGATTGGACATCTCAATTTATGTTCGAATCAACTGAAATACAGAGGGAGGACAGCATATGTCACAAGGTGTTAGGAAATGATGACCAGGCGAAGTTCTCTACTTCTTAGGGGAGAACACTACTTCCACGTCTGCAAAGCAAGCATGAAAGGAGAACCTCAGAAACAAGAAAAGTGTAAAATTAATGTTACTGGTTTATACAGTAGAAATACCATCTAAAGTAGGAAAAAATAAGAGAGGTGGGAGATGCACTGAAAGTACTGCAGAACAGCAAGAAGAAAAGAAAAACAGAGTACCTTAAAGGTATTCTGGGGTGTACCTTCTGCTGTTTTGATGGTTTACTTGGTTGGTTTTTTTGGTTGGTTGGTTTTGTTGAGGAGAGTTTAAGCCAATGTCTCACTATTTTGGTTGCCTAAATGAGGCTTATAGCAGGCTTAATTACACACATCTTAATATAAGTAGTGAGACTCGACAATCAGGGCCTGAATTTTCTGATTTGTCTACAGATCAGGTACAAAATAAGAACTGTTAGAAACAGTTTCTCTGCACAGCCTCTATATCGCCTCAGCACTGACACAGAGATACACAGAAGTGGTAAATGGTAGTTTGATTTCCATGCCCACCAATTCCATCCAAGTTGAGAGGCTGACAGGTCTATGCAGGCTAGATGCTCAACTATTTGCAACAGCTGAGAATCTGCCCCCATAAATGTAAGTCACCATTACATGAATTGTTAAACACAGAGCTGGCATAACAAGAAAGATCCAAAAAGTCCATGCAGGTGTTTGAATAAACAAGGCACTTCAGGCAGTAAGCACAGCAAAACCCTCTTTCACAAGGTTCTTCTGTTTTGATGATTCTTTTAAAATGTTACTGCATTCCTGTTTAGCACCTGCAAGTGCCTCAATTCTAGTATCATGCTTCTTTTTATAAACCAGTTTTTAAAAAGTAATATTGCTAGTCTTGAGTGAACTTCACAGCTTATAGTCACAGACTTCAAAAGGTATTTCATTCAAACAATTTTTGACAACATTCAAATTCAACTATTAAAATTTCAAAGGTTTAAAAAAAAAGTATTACAAAACAGAACTAATAGTTTTTATTTGAAAATGCCAGAGTCTTTTGGAATAAATGCAAGGAGTTTCCCTGTCTGGTAAAGAACTGAAATGGTTGTCTTGTGCTGGGTGACTTGCATGCTGTTAGGAAACACAACACTATAGCCACCTAATGATGAACATTTTAGCACTTGTGATGGACAACTGCAAAATATGAATGCAGGAGTCTCGTTTCATACACTGTTATTAAGAACTGCCATGAGAACAGAGCTAGGCCCACTTTTGCAAGCATTGCATGTGCAACGTGTGTCTCACTTGTGTTTCAAATTCATCAACACTTCCTTCATCTAAAAGCAGTACCTAGAATCTGGTTCCTCATAAAGTGACACTCAGTGTCACACAAATGTTGTTTGTTTTAATACATGCCAAATGATTTTTAAAAGAGTAAGTGTAAAGTAACGTAATTTTAATTCAAGTCTACCCAGACTTGATGCGTTAACCCACAGTAAGAAAGACCAGCCCTTTTTGAACATGACTGCATGAAGAAAAACAAAGTATGAAAGAAAAAAAAAAGAAAAAGAAAAAAAAATCTTTGTCCCTATTGAAGCCAATGTTAGTTCTGCTAATTATTAAATACAGCCAGAATGTTACTCTCTGTTTCAGACAGGGCTATTGCTCTAGACCTATTAGTGACTTGCAGGTGCTGTGTTACAAAAATCAGAGGAAAAAAAGAACCACAGACAGTTCAGTTTACATTAGAAACTCAGCTATCAATATTCTGTAATTTATATGCCAAAAGAAAAACTTGTCAGAAGTACTGAGAAAGGCACCATGTGGAAGTCCAGCTCCAGCAATGTTAGCAAGTCAGTAAACCTTTAGCCAGAAGAAAAAAGCAACAGCACTGCATGACCACATCCACTCTCACTAATGCAAGCAACCTGGCAAGGCTTGAAAAGGCTCAATGTCATGACCACAGCTTTTTAAGGGGAGTGTTCATTGGGCAAAGTACAGCACACAGATGAACTTTTGAAAGGCTGCCTGCTCTTAGTAAGGCCAGCTTTGAGTTCTTTAAACTGGTACTCCAGTATTCAAAGGGAGATACCAAATTTCCTCTATCCTTTATTCACCTTTTGCCCTTATTTTACTGGCATTCTTCTGGAAAGATTATCCAGATTTCTAGATAGTATCAGCTCTCTTCAATTATGGTAACTGGTTTCAAATGAAAGAATGCTTGCATTAGGCAATATAAACAACTCATATAGCATGCAGCTTAATACTTCCCTGAATATATAGAAAATAGGTCAAATATATCAGCTACTACATTTTATTTCTGTAGATAAGAAAATAGATTGGTTTTCTCATCTTATAACATTCACTATTTACTCTAAAGAGTTTTCAGATTTTGGAGCAGAGATTTCAAACTCCACTCCAGGACATAACATAACTAATGTATAGCTAAGAGCAAGTCGGTGTCCATCAGCACGTCCTAGCCAGCTGGAGTTGAAAGAAATGAATTCCATAATCCTGCGACATGACAATTTAGTGTCACTGTAGAATCCAGAAGCAAGCTAAATTACACTCTGAATTACTGACCTGTGGTGGCAAGTATTATCGTTGGAAATGTTTTCTTCTAGAAAGTATATAATTAATATTTTAATTTTTAATCCATAGGCTGATGTCCTTTCCACACTGAGACACCTCAGGTAGTTTTCTAGTTACCTGTGCTGAAGGAAAAGAACTGCAGAAGTGGAGTGATCTGCACCACTAGTCAGATAATCAGTAATAGCTTCTGGAATCTTAAAATTATTTAAAAAGGTACTATACTGACAAAATTTTAGATCAAATAGTCATCTTCTGTCTGCTAGTAACATTCAACCAAATCCATGAGCTTCAAAATTCTCCTAATTCTTTCTCAAATCAGTACATGGATTTTCTTAATCCTTTCCACCAAATCTTTGAGGTAGTCAAACAGGAAAACAGAACAAAAAAAATCCCCAAAGAGGCAACTTTATCATTGCAAATTCATCTCAAATTTCCCTAAGCCTGCTGTATGCCCAGAAAACATATCAGAAATAAGTGGTACTATCTATTCTGACTGTGAAGCTCCTCAGGGTAAATTCAGCTTAAGGAAGGGCTGCCTGAAAGAAGTTCTACATGATACGGTAGGGAGGTATCTGTTTTCATAGTGCAGATTTAATGTTGATACTATCAACAATCATTCTTAGAGGCTCTCTCTTTTTATAGACAGCCAATGGAAACTCAATATAAGGTTGAATGGTTGCATAGCAATGGAAGGAGAGCAAAATAATCAGTCTTCATTAACAGAAGCATCACTGAACCAACCACTTCTAGCCTGAAGGATGGCACTATGAATCTTGATAAAGTTGTATACTCTACAGATGTGGTGCTTTTAACAGAAATAGTGGTAGAGCTAATATTTAGGGGGTGGCATTTCTAATGCAGTGGTAGTCCAAGTTCAAGGTACTCAGATCAGCATAATAGTCTCACAAATACAGAAATAGACTTAGGCCACTGATTTGTACTTTGGAAAAATCCTACATATAAAAAGTCCACCTGCCCGGCCAGCCACAGATGAAACTGAGTCAGTGCATGCATGCTTGACAATGTTTTTGACTAGCAAGGTCAGGTACTAGCAGCGAGACAGCACTTGCAGCCGGTAGACGACAGCAAGTTTTCAGCTAGTTCCATGCTGCTTCATGACTGACATCAGAACCTGAAGCTGCTAGTTTAAAGGCTATGCTGAAACACATACCCAAAATAAAAATGCAACCACTGCCTTTTAGCAATTTTTATGGAAAAATTATTCCAGCCTGAAAAGCTGTGTAAGCTATTAGAGAATATATGTAACAGTTACTAATTGTAGTTAATTAAAATTTCAAGCAGACTCGGTATTTGTAGCAAATGGGCGCATCAGGTCCTAGGAATTTCTGACTTAATATTCTGCATTCTCTAAAGCAACTGGATCAGATTTGGCAGCCTTAGCCTGAGCCACAATAGTGATTCTAAGGACAGCAAGGAAGTCAGTTGCTCCAATAACTTTGTTGTAGGTAGGATTGAAACTAGATCTGATTACTACAATTCTAATTATGTCAAATCAACACGTCTGCCAGTATTACAAGAGTGCAGATTTGCAAATAACTATCGTACTCTAAACTCTCTGTCCATCTCCACTGTGAGTGGGAAAGAAATTGAATAAAACACAAATTACAGAAACAAAACCATCAGTAACAAGAGGAGATACAGTAAAAGTTTGGTATGTTTTGTTAGTTTCTACATTAAAAGTATTATAAATAAATAGTAAATATTATCATCATACTGTTCTAAGCTTACACTATGATCCACTATAAAGCTTGTAAAATACTTTAATTTCTTCACACCTGAATTTAAAATACATTTTTTATCTAGTTTACCTGACTTTTGAAAAAGAAAACCTATGCTTCAACAAGAACAGTCACAGACAAAGACACTTCAGTGGAAATCCAAAGAGATTAAAGGCTATGCTTTAGGAAGGTAGAGCACTGCAGCACCAGTCTATTTCAGACATGCATGTAAAACAGCAGAACTGCATGCACGAAGGTCTACATGCTAAAGATGTATACGCCTTTGTTACAGAAAATGCATACAATATGTGCTTTCAAAAGCTAACACATCAAATGCAGTATTGGCACAAAATAAAGTTCAACTGCAAATCAGAACATGTTTTACCATGTTTATTGGAAGAACGGCCAAAGCAACTAAGTCTGCTTTTCTTCTTTTCTTCCATTAAGTCAGCCAATGTAACCCCTTCGTGTTAAGTACATGTAATCCCAGCATTTAAACAGTAGATGGCAGCAGTGGCAACGCAGAAAATAAAAATGTGTCCATATATACAACACAAGCAACGTTAGGCAAAACAAATTGAAATTACCAGCAGCATAACTAATCAGAGCCAAGCCCCTCACCTCTCACTCATTTTTGCATTTCGAGTTAAACTCGCAATGCTTTGAAGTCAATGGAAGTCATTCATTGACTTCAGGGTAACTAGCTATTGGTTCATAATAACGACTTACAACTTTTACTGAAGGCATATTTACAATTCTAGTAGTTAAAATGTAATTATTCAACAGCACTGAACACCTGCTCATATCAGCAACAGAGACATACAAATACCGGGGGTTCATATATAAATAACTTGACTTAATGACTTCTGTGGTTAGAAATTTTAAAATGCTGGGGTTGCAGGAATCTAAACTACATTTTTAAAGGATTATGTAAGAAGCTATTAAACACTGATTTAACCGCCTTTGAAATCTGTACCTTTTCCTGTCATAAAAAAGTCTCCTGTATCCTAAACCCAGAGCTCTTCCACATCGCTGAAGAGCATTATGGTGATCTTCCATCACCATAAATCACCAGCAATCTTGATCATCCAGAGGTTTAGGTAATCAAAGTAGGGACATAGCTGCCTAGAAGCCTGCAAATGATTATTTAGTGTATCTTGAGACCCAGCCCTACCTTATGCTTCAAAAACTGTTCTAGAAACCCACTACCAGTATATCTGGACTAAATTTATTCCAAAGCTTACTACTCAAGATTACTAACCTAGTGATAACTAGCTAAATTTTACCTGATTTCCCAACAGGTAGCTCATTGATAATGGCATAAAGATGCTCCTAACCCTAAAAGCTTTCCATGGAATAACTGGATAGACAGCTCGTGCTGTCTCTCATCATACCTCCCCATGCAATGTGACATGCAAGGAGGTGGAGCAGTTCAGCAACCCTTCCTCCTTTACACCCTGTTGCAGCTGATATTATTTGACTTATTGGAGATTAATGGACCTGCTGGAGCGTGCCCAGAGGAGAGCTACGAGGATGATCCAAGGACTGGAGCACCCCTCCTATGAGGAGAGGCTGAGAGAGTTGGGGCTGTTCAGCCTGGAGAAAAGAAGGCTCCGGGGAGATCTTATTGCGGCCTTCCAGTACCTAACGAGGGCCTACAGGAGAGCTGGGGAGGGACTTTTTACTAGGGCAGGTAGTGACAGGACGAGGGGGAATGGATATAAACTGGAAGAGGACAGGTTTAGATTAAACATTAGGAAGAAATTTTTCACTCTGAGGGTGGTGAGGCACTGGCACAGGTTGCCCAGAGAGGTTGTTGAGGCCCCATCCCTGGAGGTGTTCAAGGCCAGGCTGGATGGGGCCTTGGGCAACCTGGTCTAGTGGGAGGTGTCCCTGTCTATGGCAGGGAGGGTGGAACTCTATGATCTTTAAGGTCCTTTCCAACCTAAACCATTCTATGATTCTATGATTAAAAATTAAATTCCAAGCCACACATTTACACACACATGCACAAACCCAGAGGACTGCTATGAGATTGCATATTTGCTGGAAATTTCCACTCAAAATACATATACATGCCTAAAATTAAATTATTGGGATTTTAAGTTCTTTTAATTCTTTTCCTTCTCCTATTTTTACTCTGCAAGTCTCCTCCAATGCTTAACCTACTCTGAAATTATGTCTAAGCTAACAGTTTAGAGCCAAAAGCTCTCTCAAACTCAACAACTACGTAAACAAATATTTTTGATTTATGAAAGACCTATATGATGTAGAAGCTGTTTAAGCAATGCTGGAGCAAATGGCTCTTTTGTAGCAAATTAACAAACATCCAATTTGAACAGGATGCAAAAGGTTCCTGGGATTTCACCTGCAAACTTGCAAACCAAGTCCATCAGCACCACAGCTGACTGCATAGTTGTCCAACGCATCACTTACAATTCTGCACCGCAGTCTTGTACGACATGTATTTACTCCATAAAACATACAATCTTTTACTTCTCAGTTTTAGGATTTTATCCTGATACTCAAACCCACAGTTTATATATTCCTTCCACACAACATTAGTAGTAATAACCAAGTACAGTGAACTCACTGGCTTTTTTGCTCTGCTCTAGATGAAACCTCTGTTTGTGCTACAGATTTTCAGATAAACATAAATTATTCCTTTCTGGGTGATGCTGGCATCAACATCAACCCACAAGTTGCTTTCCAGCCTTTCATAAAATCATCTTGTTTCCTTCCAGTCAGTACCACAGATTCATACCCTGCTTTTATTGAGAACTAAAGGGCTAATAAAATTCTGAAACTCAAAACATATAACGATTTTAAAAAACCTAACTACATGCAATACAGAGATAAGTTTAAAAACAGATACCTCAATATCAAACCTACTATGGTTTAAAAGAACAGTTCACAATAAATTAGCAGCACTAGAAGAAAAAGAACAGTAATAAGGTATTATTTCAACACAGAACATAATATTCTGAGTTGCCTTTGACAAACCACTCGTAGATACATTTTCTTATGTATATACAATGGTATGTAAATTAATAATATCATGACTTTCCCGAGTATCATATAAATAAAAAGGTGCTATTTAGCATTATTATGTATATTACGTTAAGTATTAAATCATAAACCACATCCTGAATCCATGTTCTCATTTATGTACAGCACTAAAAGTTCTCATGAAAATTTTAACCTCTACTACGTAAACATGGCTAAGAAGCTAAAATAACCTCTACTAAATTATGACATTAAAATACTGCTTGAAATTTCTGACAGAGAAATCAATTATAACTTTTACAGCTGTTGCAATATCATGAAACTAACTTGTTCCTTCACATTAAGACTCAGGTCATAAGCACTCGAGGGCCACTACAGCATAAACTTCCTTTCCCATAATAAGCTAGACACTACTGTCAAATTAATACATTCTAAGTAAGTGGCAATTATATTTTAGTGTTGAAAAAAAATTCCACAAGATTTTATTTATTTCACACTCGGTTAATCCATCTAGTAAAAAAGATTTTTATATAGTTTTCTTTAGTATCAGAAAGAAAGATCAAGAATATCGTTTCCCTTCTTCAAAACTCAAAAAAAAATCCTCACTATTAGCACATGGTTATTTCCTGACTGTAGTTTTGGTCATATTTTTTAAGCTTTTTCTATTATTATTATTTCTATTGTGTGCACCTACAGGGAAACACATATTCTTCTTGACTAAGGATTTACGATGATACTTAGTGGCACGTAGCTTGCACGCACTAACTTTTTACAGAACACAACTAAAGTGAAGATTTTAAGTCTCAGTAGTGACTGAGTGCAGACAATGATTTGTACATGGACAGCTCAGAGCAGAATTTTGTTGTAAGATTCTGAATTATCTTCCATGACTCAGTATTAACATATTAACAGACGTGATTGCTCTGCTTACAAACACTTTTGCAAACTGAAAATCAGAAAGCAACATCAGATAAGCTGCATTCACCCCAGTGTAACACCCTTAAAAGCAGTCAGACTGTCCCACACAGAAGTAGTACATAGTAAAGAACACGTACTATTCCGCTTGCCTTCTTCATCAACCTCTTCATCATTCTCAGGGTCAATGTCTTCTGCCTGTGTAATCCAGTCTAAATATCCCTTCAGATCTTCTTCAAGCTGCTGTTTTTCACGTAGTTTCTGAAAGTCCCCTCGGGCCTTGGCTTTTTCTCTTTCCTTGGAAAATTCTCTATCAAGTTCAGACAAAGAAGAAAAAAAACACTGATTGTCTAACTCCCAGACATTTTGACCTAGGTTTTGACGTTGCAGAATAACATACGAACATAGAAAATGAACTGAATAAACTACACCAAAGATTTGAAAGCTTCTTTGGAAACAAGACAGTGGTGCAAAGAAATCATGACAAATCTCTACCATATTACACAACAACTTTCAGAGCTTTCATGATTTAATTTAAAATTAAGCAGCATTCTTGACTCTTCCCATATCAGAAGAGTCATCCTGCCCACCCCACCCCGCCTTTCAGTATGTGCTCTTCTATACAGATTTTAAAATCAGTTTTATCTAATGGGTACAAAGCAAAATTGACTTGCAGTAATGAAATCATTTCAGAGAGGTGAGTATTAGTTTCAGTGAAATGGAAATTCTGGCAGCCAGTTCTAGAATCCTTCTTCTTCCAGCCACGGTTTATTTGCCATGTCCAAACATACTTATTTCAGTGCATGGTTCACAGAATTCCACTACTAAGCTCTCTCAGTTACATCATGCACCGACACCTGTGCTGTTGGCGATCTGGATGTTTTGCCCTTTTGCTCTCTATAACAGAATCTAGAAATCCTGTTCTCACAGAACAGAAATACATCCTTTTATATAAATTGAATCCTCTGTCTCATTGCCCCAGTCTCAAGACAATGTATTTCACTGTCTGTCTAGTTTAGCTTCGTGATTTGTGTCAATCTCTAAATTATCATGGAATGATAATTAAAATAATTAAGTCGTGCTCTTTGAGAAGGAGATTGGATAAAATGGCCTACTGAGGTCTCTTCCAACTTGAATTGCTTCATGGATCCATGATTCCCTTAATGATAAATGACTCAAGACAATTATCAAGTAAATTCTTGCACCGTGACATTTCATATGCCGATATTATTACAACATTTGGTGCAACACACAGCTCCAAACGTGTAACTCCCCTCAGTAGAAGGATCAAACATTCTGCGATTTATCCGAGTATCAGTTTGCATGATTAGGGGTAGGCAAGCATCTTTTGAACTGTATTGTAACTACGTATTGACTCAGTGTTTAAAGCTAAGCTTGCTCTGACTAACCTGTTAATCTTACAATAGGGCTGAAATTAAACCTAAAAAATGGCTATAGTAATTTCATTCACTATGAATCTGCATTCCCTTTATTTACATGAACTTTCACTTGAAAATACTCCCTAATTAATACACTCTCAAGGGGAAATTTATCAAAGCACTCAATATTCTTTTTTGAGTGGAAAAATATTAGGAAATTAGTATATGACTTGCAAAATATTTTAACAAGGTGAACACAATTATCAATATGGTATTGCCCTGCTAACAAAATATCACAGAACAATAGAAAGTATCATAATTTTTAACATAGTATTTCAGCTCGGTGACAGACAATACTTATTTGGAATTACCATCTGTCCATTTTTTAAAAGAAAGTTTGTTTTATTTGCAGTCTTCAAATACATCTTTTAAACACTAATTTCTGCTTTGACATTAGTAAATGTAAGAGTTAAGTTCTTTACATGCAACCACACAGATTTTGTTGTTTGGGGTTTTTTTTTAATGTTATGCTGCAGAAGCTAAAAAGCTTTATGTTGCAAAAGCTGAGAGGCAGGCACTACACTTTTTACAGTTGAGGACTTAATTCAACAACAATTCAGTTTGGCATGTGGAGATCATCCTGTTCCATCTGATGGCACTGTAATGAAGCTGAAGAATGCCAGTGCTTGCTTTGCATTTGCTACCCTTCACCTAGCATCCAAGGACAAGGTCCTTCAAAAGGCTCTTGAAAGACAGCGAGCTCAACAGATCTCTCTGAGGGATAACTGCTTTTAAAAACCAAACCAAACCAAACAGATTTCATTGTTTTGGCAGAAGATGTCACAAGCCTATAAGAAATAGTTTGGTTTATGGAATGCTGGGTTTTCAGCTTCCCTCAGAGGGAGTATCAAAAAGACTATCCCTTACATCCGACTGAGGCAACGTACTCGCAACTCACACCATAGGCAGTACCGTTGAACCATCGTGACATAGTACGAAATCACAAGTAACAAGCCTTGCTAGCTTTTCCTAAGTATTCATATTTTGTTCAGTTAAGTCCTTCGGGTGTTTTTTATTAGGGTGAAGGATGTGTGATCTGTGTAGGTAAAGTAAAATGAAAGCTGCTGTTATTACATGGAGTGAAGCAAAAGAAATCATTTAAAAAGGAAACAAACAGCAAGGCTGATACTTTCAACAGCTCTTCACCCATGACTGAACCACCTTTTAACTTTGACTTTACATTAAAATGGCTGCACGCAGAGAATTAAACACAGACTTTTATATACACAGCTAACTATGACCTTTCCCTTTAATACAGCATGGAAGTCAGACATTGTCTTGTTAAGTGCTGCTGCAATTTATCAGTAGGGGGACGTGCAATGGTGCTTAATTTCCAAGATATTTACAATTTTACTTTTATTTTTAAAACCTGACTGTTTGTAAGGAAGCATAACACCTGAGAGGACTGCATTTTCTTTATGGGATGGAGGAATCTGGCTCTATGGGGTTTTTTTTCTATCACAGTCACAATGAAGTGACATCCCTCTGACACACCTACATACGTATTCTTTTTACTGAAATACCATGAACAAGAAAGGGGAATTACATGGAATTGGAATGTAATGAGTTTCCTGTTAGCAGAACAAAACCATTTTTTTCCAAGAAGCAAGAAGTTATTTGAAAAAAGAGAACGGGGGCAAGACAACGTAGAGACATTGGTTCTTTAATGCTTCTGACAAGGATATTTAGACAACAAGATATCTGAATATTTAGACAAAGATATGTAGACATTGGCTGATGTCCTGGAATGGGGAATAAGACAGCTGCTTGTGCAGCATTTCATGGCTATGGAGAGCGTAGGCTGAGTCCAGGGCAGAAAGAAAAAGCTTTTGGCTATGCAGGCAGCTTAAGCACTGACATGGTTAGACTAATGGCCTGAACTTGCCTCCCTGACTGTCATCAACCCAGTCTAGAAGCCTATGAAGTTGAAAGGCTTAGGAAGTGGCACATTAATTGTCGTAAGTGGACTTAAGCTCTGTAAATATCTGGTTTCACAAATGCCCGTGCTAAGAGCTAACTTCAAAATACATATTTCATTCTGGTTTGATAAAATGACCTGGATCTGGCATTTGAAAATGTGCACTTGGGGGGGTGTGCGGAGATGATGTTTATTGACTAAACTGACAAAAATTGTATTCAAAGGGCTGTTGTGACTATGCTAACTTTCATAATGGTCTCTCCACTAAAATATGATTTAAATCAGTCTCCAAGTCGCAAACTGAAAAATCCTGAGGAGCCACGCTGATTTGACACCAGCATATGTGAAATGAAAATCAGGCCTATTGCCTGTAAAATTTCAGTTTAAAAATAAAATGGATTTAAGTAGTTTTCGTAAAGGATAGGACTCAATAAACACGTTTTTGTCCTACTTCCAACAACTGGAAAAAGTCAAGCTCACCGCTGTCTCCATATTTTAAAGGATAATATGCTTCAAAATTAAGACTTTAGGCTAGCAGGGCTAGAAAGAGTTTTTTTGCAAATCTCTGCTTCTGAAGAATCTTATAAAGCAGACCTGCAGAATTTGTATAACAACACCACATATAATTACCTGTTTGCCTTCAAAAACATCTTTTCTTCAAAACAATCTATTGCTACCTAGATGGAAGCAATTCAGTTTTTTATTTCACTGCAAAAGCAAGTAAATCAGATGAGCCAGCCCTAGCCAGCCTAATTTTGATCTAGTTAAATATTACTAAAAATTGCAGCATATAACAATATCCTGTAAACTGAGCAAAGCTGCAAATTGCAGCTCAAGTGTAAATATCTCAGTCAATTGCACCCACGGCAGAAAGGAGACATTACATGCAAAATACAGCATTATATGGAGACTCATCTACATAATCTAACTTATTTTATTGATAACTCAGCTACTACATAAAATGCAAGTTGTCTTTCTATTGCGCAAAAATTCCTTGTCTCCTTGCAGAAAAATGATCTCAGTTGTCTGTTTAGGAAACACCACCATCATCATCATCAATGGTTGTTGAGGCAGAAGCATATGAAATGAAGGTTTTGAGTTCATGCTTCCATAGTGTGGGGCAATCATTTTCATGCCAGGTTTTTTCTTCTTCACCAGAGTGAAATAACCTCTGCTGGTATGCATCAGCTGGGGATGGTTCGATGCAACAGGGTGGAGGTGGCAGCAGGGAGTACCTACTGGGACTCAATTACAGCTCTCTGGTTTCTCACACCATGATTTGAGGCAGGGTCGGTCATATTAACCAAAAATCCTAAGACAACACTTCGCTTAAATATATCTTGTATACTGTCTCTGTAATTCATGGACCTAATAACTAAGGAGACACCTATACTGGCCTCCTATCAGCTGAATGTTCTTCCACGCTAAAGGCTAGATGCTTTTCATAAGGGGGCTTCTGCAGCAACACAAGTGTTGCTGTATCTCCTGTGCATCACTACGCACTGATTATAGGAAATAAACAGTTGCCTTTGATGTCTAAGCATAAACCAGGACAGTAATTTTTCATTGGCCATATTACTGCCCTTCTGTGTCACTGCAAACGCAGTGAGAGAGAATTCATCTACTGCAGTATGCAGCTTACTGCACACAGGGTCTGGTACGTGGAAAGTGTTATGCTAATGCTATATGCAGAACTGTCACCCAGGCATCCTAGACTCTCATTTATTCACAGAGAACAGTCACATAATAACAAAAATGCACTCACAGGAGTACAGTGTTGGCCACCAGACTCACAGAAGAGCTTTCACACCGAGGTAACCATACCAACCAACAAATTAGCAGAATCAAATCACATAACTCGAACTGCTTAAATTGTACAGATAAGCACGAACAACAGCTCACAGCTGGGTGTAATGTGTAACAGATGTAGAGAGACATAAAAAAGGTTAAGTA